TTCTTAAAATGTATACATTTTTTTGCAACTTCCGTATATGAACTATATGGATGTATGTGCCACCACTCCTATTTTACCTGGATGTTTATTACTATCAGGTTAGGGAACTATTTTCAGGGTTCCACCCCAGAGATTCAGCTTCAGGAGGACTAGGTAGAACCTGGGAAATTTGTTTTTTAAAAGCTCCTAGGTGGTTCAAGTGAGCAATCAGGTTTGGAAACCACAGCCTTACACCAGTCATAGTGCTCTGTTGCAGTGGAAATCAGAAGAGGTTTCAGGAGCAGATGGGCATAAGCACTAGGGTGCAGAATTGTTCTGTTTTTCACATGAGGTTCTCAATCTAATCAGTCTGAAAATCTGACACCATATTCTCTCTAGAGAACTCTCCTACATTGATAAATGTTGTCTTTTATTCTCATATTTCTGGCATCTGTTCCCATCGTCTGTCAGTTCTTCCCTGATTATGGCTTTGGTAATTAAGTAGCCAGCTTGATTTTACCATATCCAGTGATGAATATTCAAGAGTAAAACAATGTAGTCTTATTTCAGTGAGAATCATTTGGGTTATTTATTTATTTATTATTTATTTTAATTACCCATATCCTGACCCTACCCTCTAAAGATATTTTTCAGTCGTTTTTGGTAGGCTTAGGGTTTTTGTTTTTTGTTTTTTGTTTTTGTTTTGTTTTTTAAGATTTTATTGGGGAATTGGGGGAGGGGAACATTGTTGGGGAATTGGAGAAGAGGACCAGACAAGTTGTTGTTCTTTAATCTTTGTTGTGGAGGGGGCCAGTCGCCATCTGGCTTCCCATTGGCAGCTCGTGGCCTCTAAGCTCAAGGGGCTGTGTTCAATCTTAGTTGCAGGTGGGCGTAGCCACCATCCCATGCGGGAGTCGAACCACCAGCCTTGTTAAGAACGCACACTCCATCCACTGAACCATCCGGGCGGCAGCTCAGTTCAAGTTGCCAAGTTCAGTCTTAGTTGCGGATGGGCATAGCCCACCATGGAACAGGCAATCTTGTTGTTACACCAGCTGAGCTATCCTGCCACCTGTTGACAGCTCAGCGACAGCTCAGCTCGGGCGCAGAGTCACTGGCCCATGTGGGAATTGAACCAGCAGTTCTATTGTTCAGAACTCGCGCTCCTAAGCCAACTCTTAACCAACTGAGCCATTCAGCCGGCCCCCTAGGCTTAGGGTTTTATAGTTTTAAAGTATCACAAGTAATTCTGACATGCATTCCTCAGTGACAGCACTCCTTTATTTGTTACCTCTTCCCCTATACCCTCAATGGAAAAAAGTATATTCTGCTAAGGCAAGTAAAGACTTAGCAAAACCCTAAATAGATCTTCTCAGGTCTTATAGTAAACGTTATCTTTCCTTAGGACACAAGCAGAAGAGGAAGTACAACATTATGTTTTTAAATGGTTCAAGATAATTTAAGCTGTTCCTAGTGATGTCTTACCAAGTATGCTATAAATTATCCTTTATTTATTATAAATCCAGATAGAAGAGGAGTTATGGGAAGAAGAATTTATTGAACGCTGTTTCCAGGAAATGCTGGAAGAGGAAGAAGAACATGAATGGTTTATTCCAGCACGAGATCTCCCACAAACTATGGACCAAATCCAAGACCAGTTTAATGACCTTGTCATCAGTGATGGCTCTTCTCTGGAAGATCTTGTGGTAAAAAGTTATTTTTCATCTTAAAACCTAGCTCATCTTTCCCATAAGTGTAAAAGCCAGCAACCATCTGTTTAAGAAGAGTTCTACATCTCTTCCCTTCAAAAAATGTACTGCTTTTTACTATGGAAGCAGAGGCCTCCCAGTCTCACTTATGACATGGAGTGACTTTTGGCAACACTCTGGAGTTAGTCTGAGACTACTAACAGACTTCTTTCCGCTGCTTTTAGTTTTGGTAACTGTGTTGCCCTAGGATACGTAAATGCCTTAAAGCATTAACCCAAAAGAAGTACACAGTATGTCTATGTGACTTGCTATACTAAAGTAGCTTGATGGAGAGGTTTTGTTCTTTAATTTTGTCTTAAACATTTGGTGAAATTTGCAAAATTTTATGTGAAAGGTAAAATTTTGGAGATTTTTTTTTCCCCCCCTGAATTCAGGATTTTCATTGTTAACCCTAACTTCTTTTGGAACTTTGATTTAATAAGGACTTTTACACGCTCTTGGCAGAAAAGAACACAAACCCGTTTTCATTTTTAGGTATCTCAGTGTCTCATTGCTGATGGTATATTTATAGTAAAAAGTTTTCTTAGGAATTGTGATAACTTAGCATCAGTACTAGACTAGAACCTAATGAGCCCCTTCACTAAATTAAAGATAAAATAATTTAAAGGCAGAAAGTTAACCTGTCCATATTGACAGCCTCTAGTTGCTTCTACAAGGTCTCTGGAATTTATCCCTTAAGCTCTGAAGTACTTTTTGCAGTTGTCTTCTGTTCACTGTTCAGTGATTTCCTAAACTGGCTGTGCATCATTATTACCTATGTAGCATTAGAAACAAAAAAAGTTCCTTAGCTACATCCCAGACCTACAGATTCAATTGTCTAGACAAGTTTATTTTTAAAAGTACTCCCAGAGGATGTTGCCAGCCTGCCCTATCAGGCATTTGGAAACTATTCTTCTAAAGGGCTGTATAGAGAACACTAAAATTTACATTGTGGTGTAGTGTGTTGCAGTGAATGACAGTAACCCAACTGAGCAGATATGTGATCTGAACAGTCTATTGGAATATGCTTGCCTATGGCTACATCAGTCACTCCATAAATAATCCTGGTTGCTCTAATGAGTCAAGCCCTTTGCTAGATATAATGTATAACTTAAATCTGGAACCAGTATAAACCCATTGTCTAGAAACTGGTTTGTTCAACTCAGTCTATTTGAGATTACTTTAATTCCTTCTCATTATTTTGTAGTTGCCAAAGATTGCACATTCAGGAACACTGCTTTTTTTATTTAAATGTAACACTTTTAAAGTTCATATATATATATATATATATATATATATATATATATTCCCCCCCCTTGAGAGAAGGGAGATGTCCTGTACAAGGAAATGGTTGTGTATAAATTATGAAACTAAGATTAAATTACTGCTCCAGCATGTTGTTTAATGTGCTTTGGTCTTAAAGTAAGTGACATAGGGGACTCAGAATCAGTCTAAAAACCTGCCAGCATGCCTACATTTCCGGCCCTGGATTCCATCCTGGTTTCTTTTCGTCTTTTTCTTTTTTCAAAAAAATTTTATTGGGGAATTGGGGGAGGGGGATCAGCCAAGTTGTTGTTCTTAAATCTTCATTGTGGAGGGCGCCAGTCACCATCTGGCTTCCCGTCGGCAGCTCGTGGCCTCTAAGCTCAAGGTGCTGTGTTCAATCTTAGTTGCAGGTGGGCGTAGCCATAGTCCCATGCATAAGTTGAACCTGCTGCCTTGTTGTTAAAAGCGCACGCCCTTTCCACTGGGCCATCCGGGCAGCAGCTCAGCTCAGGTGCCGAGTTCAGTCTTAGTTGCGGATGGTCATAGCCCACCATCAAATAGGCAATCTTGTTGTTACACCAGCTGAGCTGTCCTGCCACCTGTTGGCAGCTCAGCGACAGCTCAGCTTAGGCGCAGCATCACTGGCCCATGTGGGACTAGAACCGGCAGCACTGTTTTTCAGAGCTCGTGCTCTTAACCCAACTCTTAACCAACTGAGCCATTCAGCCAGCCCTCGTCTTTTTCAACTTGCATTCCAAGATGTGGTAGAGGAAAATCTCCAGCTAGTCTCTATATGCTGACACGTCTGCTTAGGAAAGTAAAGATTTAGAGATACAGGGCCGGCCGAGTGGTGCGTTGTTTAAGAGGGGACTTGGGACGGCAGCTCTGAGCAGCAGGGCCCGGGTTCGGATCCCACATTAGGGCCAGTGACACTGCCCTCTACAGCTAAGATGGTGAACAACAGCTCGACCTGGAGCTGGGCTGCCAAGAGTTGCCAGCGACGGTGTAGGCTGCAGCCCCTGCTGCAGTGGGCTGCCATAAGCTACCGTGAGTGGCTGGCAGCTAGCGTGAGCGGCTGTCCAGAGGCCAGCAACCAATCTGCCTCACCCGGGAAGAGCGCAATGATAATAAGCAACATGGGCCAATGAAGCAACGTCCTCCACAACTAGACGGAAGAACAAAAAGGACAGCAACTTGTCTGTTCTCCTTCCCCAATTCCCCAATAAAATCTTTAAAAAAAAAAAGATTTAGAGATACAGAATAATTGTGGTATAAGTAAGACTCTTAGAGACTTTAGCCCATTCTTCCCCTAACTGATGCAAAAATGGAGTCTCAGAGAAAGTGACTTTGCCAGGCTCAATTAGGAAGTTAGGGGCAAAGGTGGGGTTTCAGCTTAGGTCTTCTGACTCCCCATGTAGTTTTCTTTTCTGTTATATACCATGCTTCCTGTGGGAATTAGAATTCAGCAGTTGTAGGAAGACAACTCCATATTTTCAGTGAGGATCATAAAGTAAAATTAACCCATTAACAATTCCTCGTTTAATATTTTTGCAAACTATGAGACTTTAAAGAAAGTCAAGTATCAGTTAAATGAACAGAATTCTTTGTTCTGTGACACCTTTTTTAGTTCATGTGAAGTTAGTGGGGTTTCTAGTTACACATAAGCAAATTTAATTTCAATTTCTACTTTCTCTTTAGGAAGTTGATAACATTTGATACAATACATATAGGTTACATCTGGTTCCTGCTTTCCCTGCCATAGTTTTTTTTTTTCCCTTTGGTGTGGGGGAGTTAAGTTTAACAATCTGAGTTCTTCCTTTTGTATATTTTGGAAGATGTTTTTGCATGTGGATCTGGGTTGAATGCTTCTGAGTATCTGAAGCCATCTATTAATGAACTTGATTTTTTTTCTTTTCTTTTTTTTTTTTTATGTACTTATTTTCCAGGTCAAGAGCAATCTGAATCCAAATGCAAAGGAGTTTGTTCCTGGGGTGAAGTACTAAAATATTTGAGTAGACGGGGCCCTCTTTTGGTGGATGTAGCACAATTTCCACACTGTGAAGGCAGTATTAGAAGACTTAATTGTAAAAGCTCTCTCTCGTCACTGTGTTACACTTATGCATTGCCAAAGTTTTGTTAGTCTTGCATGCTTAATAAAAGTGCTGAGACTGTTATTATGTAAAAAGCTGTCAAACATTTACTGAAAATAGAATTGGCCCCATGGCTTGATGTGAAAACAGCAAGGAAAGAAGCACCAGTCAAGTTGTGACAAAGCACCAAATTAAATGACCTCTAAATCTTAGTGAATTTTCTTTTTTGAGGCTGAACTGATTCCTTAGAGTTAACTAACACTTGTTAATGTCTAAACTTTTTTTAAATGAGTAAATTTAAATTAAATTCAGGTTGTTAAGCAAATTTCTCAGTTCAGACAAATTTGCATTTGTCCCCATCAAAAAGAATCTTCTAAGGAAGGCGTATTAGTTAATTTCAAATAATATAAGTATGTCTGGTTACTGAGGTTACAAAGTAGATCAGATTAGAACTTAGTCCTGGCTTCTATGGTATGGTATCATGTAAGAAATACTGAATTCTCCTAATGTTACATCTGAGGAAGTATGTGATTTGAGAATTGCATCTTCTAAGGAGTCAGTGCATCTTAGCTATATCTGTGTGAAGTCCATTTGACCAACCCATAATCCAATTGAACAAAGAAATTGTAACATGTGATTTGAGTGGTGCTTTTCCTTGCTTTGTTAACCATCACTACAATAGTCTGCAGCACAACTTTTCTTTTAACAAAGCTAGAACAGTTTTGGCTTCTTAAACTTCATATTTGGGTAGGTTAAGCTGCCATACGTGTTCAGTGTGAATAGTGTTTAAGTTGAAAATATTGTAAAAAAATTATATTTTTTCAAAAATATTTAAAAAAATAAATAATAGTAGAACTGAGCTGATGGTTGTGTTTATTGGTGCTGAATGCAGACTCTCCAGTGGTGATACTCACTTCAGTGTGGGCTCAGTACCTCAGGACAACCCTGCTGGCAAGATTTGATGAGAGAGCAGACTTTATTAGATCCCATTTTGTCAAGTATGTTGTTATGCAAGTATCCATCCAAAATATAGCAATAAAATAAACCCCATAGCCCCTTCCATAACCCATGTTGATTGCCTCAGGATACAATGTCAAGGCATTGTAGATATCCATTGTTAAGAAACTTCGGCTGACCAATATAGTGGTAATCTTACTACTATAACCTTCATTAGCTTCTGCCCCTCACAGGCCATTGCAGGTCTGATTGGACTGGATTGCTATTTTGATTCATCTGGACCTTCCCCTTTTCTCCCTCACAAGCTCATTTATAATATGTTTATGACTAATCTTTATTTGGGATGGGCTGTCGGCCAACTAGCAATTTCCTGGTTCCACACACAATTCTGCCTCATGGTCCTACTCAGTTATTGATAATGCCCTCTGTGTTTTTACTGAGTTTATTGGGCTCAAGATTAAGAAGGCCATGTAATCATGTGAGTTCTTGCTCACATTCTCCCTGGAGTGGGTTGGGGGTGGGGGTGTCCTTGGGTGAGAACACCTGTGCCCCAGTGGTTTTTAATAGCTACTGCAACAAACTTAATAAACAGGTTTTTAAAGAAACTGAAGCAGAGATGATCCTGCTTGGTTCTTGTTCTGTTTGGAGCCATGATACAGCCAGTCCCCTTTGTTCTCTTGACAACTCAGTATCACAAGTGGCACAGCAGGCTGCCAAATACATGAGGCTAACAGATCCTTTCTGAGCTCAGATGGGGGCAAATAAGTTCATTTCTACATACTGCCAAATTACGATAGTGCAGTATAATTGGAGATGATACATTTAGAGAGGCATTGTAACCTAATGAGTAAGAGCAAAGATTAGCCAGACTTTCTGGATGGGAATCCAGTGATCCTGGGGAAGTCATTTAACCTTTCTGTGACTTAGTTTCCACCTCTTTAAAATGTAATAACAGTATCTATTTCAGGATTGTGTAATTGGTAATATACATTAAACACTTACGACAGTCCCTGGCACATAGAAAGTTCTATTTAAGTGATTGTTATTATTACTGTTAGGGAGTCATTAGGCTAAGCTCTCATTTTCTTGGAACTTTTCTTGTCTGTCTGAGGTAACATGCATATTAAAACTACTTTGATGTTTGGTTAGAGAGCCAGGCATCTGCATTACAAGTAGAAATGGAAAGTTTCAGAGCATCACTAACTCCATTTTGAAGTCTTTGGGACAAATGATCACCCCATCAGGGCCTATATGGCATAGTTTTAGGGTAACTGAAGACATTCTGTTTTTATGTTATGACCGTTATTGAAACAAGGTACATGAGAGGATTTTTCCTGTTCTTGTGCTATGTCAGTATTTCTCAACCTTTTCCATGTCATAAGATGTTATTTGTTTAGCATACTGGAGTGCAGAGGTGAAGCTGGCTGCCTGTGGCTGGAGTTTATGGCTCATGGGCTCCAGTTGACCCATCTTCTGCCCAAATACCCAGAAGGCTGAAGGGATCAATATTTCAGCATACTTATAATCTCTTAGTGGCCCACACCAGTTGGGAAGTTCCACTCTCACTATAAAATAGCTAAGGAATTTCACTCAGAATCCATATATTGACTTTTTATCCAGTCTACCTTTCTTTTGAAGACACTCAAATAGGTCACAAAAACAGAAACTGAGTAGTTTGCTTTTTCTTCAGTTAAAGCATAAGAATGTTGTAATTTTTTTCAGCCCTCCCACAAGAGCCATAGACTAACATATCCTACCTTTCCTAGAAGTAATTTTTCAAACTTTGGTGCTCACAGGCCCAGTTTCTCTACTTTCTGGAGTATCTTCTGGAACTGTAAGCTGTTCTTTTGACCTTGAAGAAAATCCTTTGAAGACTGGGCAGATAGGAATGTATTTCAGAAAGGCAATCCTTTTTACCACATTCATCCCAATAGGGAAGTCATAGCTCTTGAGGCCAGTAGACATCTCACTGTTGGCGTGGGCCCCAGCTTTCCACTGGATCAGACCTCGTTCCTCTGGACTCCCTGAAAGGACAGTGGGGTCACTTACCAGGTCCAGCCACCCTCTGCTACTTCACCTTCCCATAACCTATTCCTGAGGCAGACTTCTGGAATTGAGTGTCTTGATTCTCAAAAATCTTCTGGTTCTAAAAAGTTGTTGAATCCATGATTTCTCAGCTCCTAACTTGACCGGAGCTCTAGGGAACACTAAAGGATACTGATTATAATTAGTGTTTATTGCGTATCTGCAGTGTGCCAAGCTCTGTACTAAGTGCTTTAGTTTTATCTCATTTCTTCAAAATACATCTTTAAGAGGTGTAAAGGCACTATTATACAAAATTTTATGATGAAGAAAGGCAGAAAGGTTAAGCAATTGTCATCTAACATCTTGAGTGTGGGGCTAATCTGTGCTGAACTGATAGGCACCAAATAGTGCCCAAACTTTGCTGTGGGGGCAGGTTGGTATATTTTGAAACACTAATCAGTACTAATAGGATGCCATATTTTGAAAATAAATTGTTTTTATACTACAAACATTCAAGCTAAGGAAAGTCTTTGATGGTGGTAGGGATACACAAGGGATTTTTTTACAGCTATGGGAATTCGCCCTTAGAAGTAGAGGAGGGGTGTATGTTATCTGAAGTTTTCACAAGAGGGCTGGGGTTGACAAGATTGGCACAGTGTAAATCTAGTGGTGAAAATGAGATTTCCATGTGCTGGCAGCCCAGGCTGAGAACCCCATAAGGAGTGCAAACGAAATGTGTCCCAAAATCTCAGGAAAGGGCACTGAGGGAGGGCTAGGGTCCTTGGGGAAGACTACTGGGCCTGGCTGTGGACAGAGTAAAAGGGGGAGAGCTGTATGTGCGGCATAGGACTATAGTGTCTGATCGCCCTGCTCACCACTGCCAGAGGACACCACCTGGCTCACAGTCCCCTGCCTACCCTTCACATCCCACCTGCAGTGCCCTCTGCTGCTCCTACTCCCTTCCATTCTCCTGGGCCCCATCCAGTCTCATCCAGGAAGTCCTCCAGGTGACTCCAGCCCAGGATTACTGACCTTATTGACCAGTTTTATTTCCTGTCTTATGCTAGGAGCTCCTCAAAACAAACAACATATTTTGTTGTTCATCCCCTTCAGTGTCTAACCCAGGGCCAAGTTGGTAAGTTGCTCTAGCATTTGGTGAACTAAATTGACTGTGGATGGGTAAAGAGAAAAAGTAAATGCAAAGTGGTATGTCAGCAAAGTGTGCCCATTACACAAGACAGCTGTGCAATTCCATAGTTAAGGACTGAGTTCTGAGCCAGTCAGACCTGGGTTTGAATCCAGGTTGTGCGACCTTCAGCAAATGATTTAACCACTCTGAGCTTCAGATTCCTCATCTATACACACTGAAGGACTGTTGAAGATCATGTGGCATAGCATAGTGATCCTTGGCGGGATGGTTCCTGATGGGCAGTTGGATTGAAGGATGGGGATGTGAGGAACTCAGCAAGTCTGAGACTATTAACACCGTCTTGTTAGAGTAATCCATCTCAAATCACAGAGAAGCCCCTCAGTTTATAGCTGCCCATCTCCCCAGATTCCATTGGCATTGAGTGCCAATTTCCTGTCTCAGGTCCACAGGATGGGCTGTTCAAGCCCCCAGCCCAGCTTCCTCTAAATGGGGAAGAGGTGGGTACCGTGATCATTTACCACCCATGCATCCATCCATCCAACGGGTAGCTGCTACCAAGAGCTCCCTCATCATCTGATGCTGTCTAAAATCCCTAAAAGTGCCAGGGATACCTGGCCCTTCCCTGCTCACACTCCAACCCACCAGCTGTGCATAGCCAGCCTCTATTTACTCCTGTGCTCTGAGTAAGACACTTGTATCTTCAGAGGGAAGCTAGTGGGGTCTTACAGCTAGGTTCAGGCTGGCTAGTGGTGGGGAATGGAGGGCCATTATCCTGCTACTCCCATCCCTCATCTCCCAGGACTGATGGAGTCTTTAGCCCCTGTCTCCAAGGAGCTTTCCCTAATCTTCCAGTTACCCCCTGAAAACCTCCAGGAGAGGCAGTGTGCAATGCTGGGACACAGGCCATAGACTGCGTCAGATGGACTTGTTTAAAATCCCAGATTTGCAATGTTTTAAATCTGCAACTGGGACCTTCGGTTAGTCACTTAACCTCTCTGACTCGTTTCCTCAGATAAAATTGTATTGATAGTCCTTGCCTCACTGGATAGTTTCTGAGGATGAAATGAGACATTCAGGTCTATGTCTGACCCATAGATGTTTGGTAAATGTTAACTTATGCTCGATACTAGTTATAGCACCTGGTAACATTGGTTTTTATATATTTACTGTGCACATAAACGTGGTCCAGGAGGGAACGTTCTCAGGGACCCCCACAAAATATCCTCCCAATTCCTGCAAAAAGCCCTAATAGCAAAGAGAAAACTTAGGGGCTCGTCCAGTAACCAGCGTGACAGGTTGCTGGCATATTTCGAGTGGGTTTTGCCAACAAACTGATCCTACCTTTGTATCTGTCCTACCCTAAGAAAGCAAAGACACCCCTCACCCCAGTGGCTATCAAGAAATGGAGAGGAGGGCTGGCCGAGTGGCGCGGTGGTTAAGAAATGGAGAGGAAACACCTCACAGGGCCCCAGAATGACTTCTAGCCCCACCCTCTTCAAGACCTGTGAGGCATGTCTGTGCCTCTGGCTAGTGGACTTTCCCTCCAGCCAGTGGGCATGCCACCAGCCCATCTGTCCCTGCTTCTCCCTGCCTTCAGGGCCTGCATCACATCAGATCTGGCCACAGCTCCGGTCCAGGGGCCATGCGTTGGAGTGAAGATGAGCCCAGTCTAGTTATGGGTTTCCCTCGCAGGTCTGATCCATACCTGGCACTGTGTTGTCCAATATGAAAGCGAGGCACCCACCCACAAACATCTCCGTGGTCAGCAGCACAGTCAGAATCTGGTCCACTTCAGGAATGCCTGTGGAATAGGTCAAGGGCCCAATGGGTATGGTCATGGCCCCATCTGGAGAGCAGAGCTCGGGGACATTCTCCCAACTTGTGCAGCTTGCTGACCTCCTTGAGCAGGTAGGGAGCTGGAATGCCTGTCTGCACCTCTGCCTCTCCTACCCTTGGATTCAAATCCAGTTTTGCCAGTTGCTACTTGTTGTCTTAGGACAAATCATTTAAGCCTCACTTTCCTCATCTATGACATGGAGATGATAAGGGTATCTGTGTCGTGGAGCTGTTGTGAAAATTAAATGAGCACATGTAAAGCTCAATACCTGTCCACAGAAAGTGTCAGTAAAGGTAAAAGGACACCTGCTAATTAATTAGCCTCTCAGCTGCTGATTAACATCCAGAGTTGGGCAGGAATTGTGGCTCTCGCTGTGTGGAGCCTTTGAGGGAGGGGGCTGTGCTCAGAGTCGGGCCCACCACACCTCCCCCACCCCTGGTGACATTCAGACAGGTGCAGGCACCTGTGTTGATGGCGCCGGGGTTGGACTCCAGATAATTTGGCAGCGTGAGCCCGAAGAACATGGAAAATCCGAGCACGAAGAGGTTGCGAGAGGAGTTCATATCCACAAACTGCAGGTTGGACAGCCCCACAGCGGTAATCATGCCTGGGGGCGCACGAGACCGCTGGAGGCGCTGCGCGGGCCAGGTGGGCTCCACTACTCTGCGACAGCGCTGAGACCCGGGGCTCGCGTGCGGCACTCACCGAACAGGGTGCAGAACATGCCCCCCAAGATGGGATCAGGGAGCGAAGCGAAGAGGGCCGTGAATTTGCCAATGGTGCCCAGAACCAGCATGATGCCAGCACCATACTGCACTACGCGCCGGCTGCCGACCTGCCAGGGAGCCAGGGGGCGTGGCTAGATCCAGGGGGAGCGGCTGAGAAGGGTGAGTTCCGGGGGCGAGTGGGGCTTGGGATAAGAGCGAGACACAAATGGGCCAGGGCTTGATGCAGGGCGGGGCCTCACAAAGACCGGATGAAACTGGGCCAAACTGGGGACTGGCTTGGGGCGGGGCGTGCGGCACAGGAATGGGGGTGGGGCTTTGGCGTGGCGCGGCACCTTGGTTATTCCCAGGACGCCAATATTGGGGCTGGAGGAGGTGGACCCGTTGCCCGTGCCCAACAGCCCTGCGATAATGCAGCAGATGCCTTCGGTGAAGATGCCCCTGTCAAGAAAGGGAGTGTGGGGGGGCTGGTTCAATCTCTGCCCTGGCTTGTGTCCTCTCATCACCCTGGTCGGGCTGCTCGCCTTCTTGGGGACTATGAAAGCTACAACTATCTGTCTGTAGTACTCCCCACTCCAGTCCAGAGGTAGGTCTGGGAACCAGGAGCCCAGGTCTGAGCGCTGGTCCCAGTGTTACTTACTCCCTTAGGCAATTCTGGGCTTCAATTTCCCCATCTGTAAAATGGGCATAAGGGTACCTGTCTCACAGAGTGGTTAGTGGATTGCATAAGAGAATGCACATTGAGAACTAGGCACATGGAAGGTTGTCAAATGACTGCAGTTTCCCTCAGACTTCATTATCTCCTCAGCTAGTCCCAACACTCAGACTGAGTGATGAGAATATCCCCATTTCATAAGTAAGGAGAATGCAGTCTGTAGAGTATTGGTGACTTGTCTTAGTCCACACTTTGGGACTCAACCTTGTCCCTACATTTGCTTCCTGAGTGGCCCTAGAGAGGATCAGATACTGGGGAGAGCAGATGGGCATACCTGTTGATAGCATGTACTGGAGGGGATGGCGCACCAGCCAGGCGGGCACAAGCATAGTAATCTCCGATTGACTCAATGATGCCTGCCAGTGTGGCACTAAACATTCCCAGGACAGCAGCCGCAGTCACTGTGGGCAGGCCCCACTGACCTGGGTGGGGGTGGGAGGAGACAGGATGGATGCAGTGCCCCCAGGTGAGATGCAGAGTGGACTAGGCAGTTTGCGGGAAGGGGTGTGGATAAGGGGATCTCAAGCTAGGGCGGGAGCGGTACAGTGTGGGAGCTTATTTGGGATGACTCAGAGTCAAGAAGCTCGAGTGAGGCTTTGTCTGAGTTTACAGCACTCAGCCCGGCACACTATACATGGGCAGCTAATGCTAGTTTTATCATCAGCTGGATTAAGATCAGCAGGGACCTCATAGATGATCTCAGTTAGAGGCAGAGGGGCCCAGGTGGGATCGCTCACATGGGTAGGGGATTCGGATCCAGGGTGCAATAGCCATGATGTCCCCTCGGGCATCCGTTCGTGCCTGGAAGCCATAGGCTGTAGGGTCTGTGGGCAGCACATCCGTCAGGGTCAGGACATAGCAGAGAAGCCACACGGTCATGATGGCCAGCACAATCTGAAGTGGGGAGGGGTTAGGGGCACCAAGAGCGCTGGAGGTCTTGTCCCAAGCTAACCAGCCCCTACCTTAGCTCCAGCCCCAGCTCCAGCCTTTGCCCCAACCCTAGATCCCAGCTCCAACACCTGTTCCAGCCCCTGGCTGGGACCTCATTTCTACTCCGTCTCTATAGCCCCTGCTGTTCAGCCTTCCCCACCCTCCCTTGATCCCAGACACAAGTTCAGCCCCTGCCCAAGTCCCAGCCCCAGCTGCTTGTCAGCAACTCACAGGAAACATCTTGAATATCTGGATGCGGAAGAGAGTGAGGCCCTTGCCCCAGCGGTAGACAGGCAGCAGGAAGGTGAGGTTGCGCAGGTACTGGGAGAACAGGACGATCAGGAGAATGGAGCTGGGGGCAGAGGCACAAGGAACAGATGGCTGGTAGGCTGGGCTGGGGGCAGGAGCCAGGACTAAGGGGAAGTACATGTAGGGAGTGAGGGGGCTGGGGCTGGGAAAAGATCAGCCCTGGTGCCCACTCACCAAGCTGAAATACCCCAGTGGGAGCCAGCTCTGTCACCAGCAGCTTGGAAGACAGAGAGACCAATAAGGGAGACAGTGGGGGTGACCGTGAGAGGCCCAATGTAGCTGAGCAGGGCCCCAGGCAGCCCCATCAGCCCGATCACCACTTCCACCATGCTGGACACTATGATTGCACCCTGGACCTGGAAGAGCCAAGATCAATGTAGAAGCTATGATCTGTACATAAAAAAACCAAAAAAACCAAAAAAACGACGCTCCTGAACCACCCGCTTGTATGCCCCAACTCAGCAGTGGCCCTCACGCTCATCTAGCTCCCTCCTTAGGTACAGGTCTCTTCTATCCCACATGCAAACCCACCTCTCGTATCCGTGGGTGCCAGATATGAGAGGTGTTCAGGGGCAGACTCCAGTTTCCGTAGATCTCCTCTGGGGACAGCGATAGGGACACACACACACATGAACAGGGAACAGAGACAGAAGGAGACACGATGCTGCCATGAATGCGCCCCGGTGTCTGGACTTGGAACAGTCACCCAGACCTCCAGGCTCCTGGGCGCTGCCCCCCCCTCCATCACAGATCCCAGAAGTGTGCCCACCTTCTGGGGGGCATTTCCATCTGTCCAGGGCCAGGATGGCTTTGGCTGGGACCAGAAATGCAAAGGCACTAGCTTGGAACAGCGGCAGCCTGGAAAGAGAAGCACAGAGCAGCAGAAGTAGGGTGAGATGGGGAGCAGGGACACAGAGAGGGGAGACAGGGAGAGAGGTATAGAGAGGGACAGAGAGAACCTCACACAGGTACAGACACACAGAGGGACAAGGCAGAGGCAGAGCAGGGGGAAGTCATTGAGGCCACAGGCAGGGGTCTGACATTTTCAGGGACCGAGGAAGAAAACAAATAGAGCCCCTAGCTCCACAACCTGCCCCCTTTTCTTCTCAACACCAGCTCTTGCACTGTGAGGGGCCACATACACAGAAGTGGACAGCTCCATTCTTGCATCCAAGCTCCACTCACAACCTTCCTCCCTCCTCTCACCACATAAATAACCATGCTTTGGCCACCCCAGCCTAGGGCTGTGTACACGGGGGCAGGGGGTCCCCAGGAGGATGGACTATTGAGGAGGCCCACACAGGCCCTGGAAGGAGGGAAGCAGTTGGTCCTGATGACTCCAAGTAAGGCTTAATGAGGGACACATTCCCTTAAATCCACAGACTACTCGTCTTTGAGGAGCGCCCAGGGGCCCAGGGTAGGATCCCAGATGCCTGGCTCTAAGGCTTGCTTGGGAGAAGAAGCAACAGGTGGGGGCAGATAGCAGCTCTTCTTGTCCCATTAATCCTCTGAGAGAGACCACCTGTTCTTCTGTGTGGACTGCTGTGTGTGTGAATGTGTCTATGTCTGTGTCTGTGTGAGGGTGGGGGCAGGGCAGCTCACCGGATGCCCAGTGTGGTCTGGATGAGGGTGGTGATGCCCACGCAGGTGAAGATGGTGCCGATGAGCTGGCTAACCATGTGTTGGTCACGGCCCACACACAGCGCCTCAGCCAGGAGGAAGGGCACCGCGATGGTGCCACTGAAGCATGTCAGGTAATGCTAGGAGGTGGGGGGAAGTGCATGAGGCAGGGCCCCTAACTGTCCTCATGCCTGCCTCAGTGGGCCTGTAGCCATGCCACCCTTAGCAATGTATCCACCCAGGACTGCCACTCCCATAGAGGATTCCAGAGGGCTACTGCTCACCTCTCTGGGAATTACTCATCTGCCGCCAAGTTATTCCTGCATCAACTTTGGAGTGGGCCCTTTTCCCTGTCACTGACAATCTGCTGAGCAGGTGATACTTGCTTCCAGGGGGGTTAATCCTCTCTTAGGTCCCAAAGCGCCTCTTCCCCACCCCTGCTTGCTGACAGTCACTGTTGTTGACCTTAGGTTTCTCTTCCTGTTACCCAAGATAACCTTGGTGGCCAGGGAGGGGGCTGGGATCCTAGGGAACCTGCATAGTAGTGGTGGGGAGTCTGTGGGGAGAAGCCCACCTGGAAGCCCAGCAGGATGCACAGGTACCAGGGTGGCACGTCCTCGATCTTGTACAACATGTCTGACTTTGGCTCTGTGGGTAGGGCCACCGGGGGGTCCCTTGTGGAGGTCCTTGCTAAGTCCAGGGCCTCATGCTGGGGACAGCAGAGAACAGTAACTCAGGGTGCAGTGGTAGACACTGGCAAAGTCGATTCTGCCCCAGAATCAATCAGGTGCCTGAGTGGCCTGACAGCTCCTCAGAATGGGGTCTGATCCAGGGGTCCTTGCCTCCCTCACAGTTCATTTACGCAGCTGTCCCTTGCCCTGGCTATTTATGGCTCCCACTTCACATTACTTTGTGAAGGGGTGAGTCCACTGTGCTGGCCCCTGGAGTCCTTGGGACCTGGGCATTCTAGCCAAAGGAATGGGCCCCTAAGTCAGAAGGCCTAGGGGAATACCAGGAGAAAGGCCAAGAGGGCTGGAGACTGGACACTCCCTCTTGGGCCCACTCGGGTCCCACCTCTGCCCTTTGGAAGTCCTTGGGGTGTCACTGTGGGGAAGGGGGGTAGTTTGGACCCCTACTGGCCCCCAAGCTGGAGTCAGCCAGTCCCCAAGCTGAAATCTTCTTCACCCCCACTGCCACCCCTATCCCATCCCCCAATTGCCATGTTCAGCCTGAGGCAGTCACTCTTGATCAAGTTCATCAGAACCTTTGTCTCTGCCCTCCCAGGGAGAAGGCTTATGCCGTCCCTCCAGCCCCCACCCCACCCTG